GACCCGCTACTTCATTAAACAATAATTTCATTAAGTTCGTATACCCCATGTTCGAGCCACTTGGAGGCGTTGATTGCTAGCAAATGGCACAGTCACTATAACAATCGATATCGCGATCCATCGTCGACACCCTTCCTAATTGCCTTTCGCTAAACGATCAGCGCAAGTAGGAATGTTACCAACCACATATGAATTGTTGAGTTTTTTCAGCAGCACTTTTATAATAGTAAATGATACCTATTGATAAGGTTAGTTAGCGGCTCAAGCAGTTTCTTGCCCAGACGTGGCTCGAGTGGTACCAACGCTCCGAACTAAAAACAACATTGTTGCACGTTGATCGATCAAATCTACATTTGTTATCTTGATGCAGCACTTTACCGCTGAAAATAAAGATCCAGTATTAAATTACATCAGCAACTGATAATATTAGGTTGATGCGAAAGCTGTCAGACACAAATTTACATGTGTCGTCATTTTTCATGAGAAAGTTTTCGCTCAATGAGCGCATTCTAGACAAATCCCAGATTTACAACTGTAATATTCAATAGCTCCCTGCTCGCTTTTCTTGTGATATATGTGATGATCATCAAGAGCTCAAATACATTCGCCTCTTTTAAATGGCGCCGTGGCTAGCAATCTCCGCTCACACCGACATCAACGCTTTATTCGGAGAAAAACTCGCTAGAGAACTTCTTCCGTCGTTAGAAGCCAGTTCACGATGATCTTGAGTAGTTTTAGACGAACAGTGGAAATGCTAGTCTAGAACAGTTCCAAATCGGCGCATTCAGAGAAATACACCGCTTCAAGTAGTCGTTAAATTAAGGGTTGGAGGAGAATGTGACGACAAAAGTTGTATGGAAGGGATATTTGGACGTCCGAATGTATGCGCCATTGCGTACAGCTGGATACAGTAGGCTGGGTGCAGATGAACGTCTTGGTGCGAATCCTGCAACCTCTACAACGGCATGAGAAGTCGCCCCTTTGAGTGGATACGTCTGCTTTGGGGCCCTTACTACGCCCTCTTTCTAGGTCGTCTTTTGATCCACGCGCCACCCTTGGAGACCCGAGGCTCATTCTAGGGAGATACCTAAGAAACCATTTTTATCGTTACCTGTGCCTTTGGGACCGCTATCTCGAAGAGCTATCAAGGACATCTAAGACTTCTACTTGTTCTCTGCGCCGTCGTCTACTTGCCTACCCACCATCTTACCGTTAGACAAGTTGGATATGCCCTATCTTGAGTTCTCCCTTACGAAGTTCGATTTTCCGAAATCCTCTTAGTTATGACAAAACACATTGATAAAGGCTGTGCCAAGTTGGGAGAAGTATTTTTTTACTGTCTAATTTATCAAATTCAGCGTGTTCTGAAACGACAATGAACTTTGTTTCAAAAAATCATATTAGATTAACACAGTTTAAAGGAATCGTAGTATCCCACCTCCCCTTCTCTCCTCTTTCGAAATGTAGAGACAACTCACTCAAGGTTTTTGTGAAGAAAATTGTTTAAAACCGAATCAATGTTACGGATCGACCAGCAAGGGTGATGGTATTCTGACCAAACTTCTCGCAGAAAGCGGCAGTGGTCTCGCTACAAATACTGATTCTCCACCCGAAATTCGGACATTTCCCTTCACAGTGCCTGACCGGGAGCGATGAGGGCGGCACGCCGTTCGGGTAGTATGCACCTCACCCGAGCAATGAGCATTTTATATTATCGTGATAGATTGAGCAAATCATCATGATTATTCCCAGGCAGATCTATGATAATGTAGAGCAAGAGTTCAGGCGTGATATCAAAGCGTCGTAGTTCGATACCAATTCTACTGCACTGGATAAGCTCTCGATTTGAAGTTCTCGCTGCTTTATTGGCTCAATTTTCAAAAAGAAGGTCACAATATTTGCTATAGGTTCTTGGAAAATTCTTTGCATGGTTTCGGAGTGGTCTCATGTGCAATTACACTTCAAAACAATGTGACTATGAGATATTATTATTAAAACCTTTGTTGTTAACATTACTGCCATTACGATGTGTACAAAAGCTCTATATTTCTCTTATTTATGAAGCAGTAACTTGTTGTGTCGGTTTGTAGGTTTGTGTCCGTCCGCAAAACTTCATGATAATTATAAAGGTAGTGATATGGAAAACCGAGCATTAACGTACATTTCCTTCCAGTATATAAAGGAGTGACTTGGTGGTTAACTTAATAAAGTAGAGTGAGTACTGCGTAGTGAAGTGAGTAATGTGCAGAGAAGTGTTAATTCAAAACTGTGATCCCGATCAGATCTACATAAAAATCGGAGGTAATAATGCAGTCAAGAGACCTCCTCCTTAATTTTACATTGTAGACCGTAGATAAGGAATTTAGCCCATTATTGTGCTCAGCAACCTTTCTTAGCTCTTAGCCGGCGGCATACAGCTTTGACATACAGTGACCTGCGCTTCGAGAGGAAAGGAACATCGGGTTGGGTGAGTCAATTGAATATTCAACCCATACCCCATCCTTTTCAAGGTCGGCTACCCATCCTACTCTGCACTAAAGTCCTCGGTGTTGAATAAAAGGGAAGCTCAATCCCTCCCTAACTAGATTTTCTAACTACTTGGCAAAAGAAAGGAATGGGGCCGGGCGACCCGTCTAATGATTTCAATAAAAGAGGACCCACTATGCAATATCCCTGCAGTACTTTGTCATAGGCGATTTCTAAGATATCCTATTTCTTTAAGATATTTAAGATATTTCTAAGATTATCTAAGATATTTCATATCCTCGGAGCAACGTCCTTTGGAGAAATTCTTCTTGAATTCCCAAGAAGGAAGCTGTGGTCGCTGAGGAACATGACAGAAGTAATGCGCTTATATAAGGCATGACAACACAGTCGCATATGTACACAGAAAAACTTAGTTTTTTTTGTTGAAATCATCCAGGGTGCATACACAAGTCATAAAAAAAGGAGCCCCGAGTTTCTCATTAGAAAGTTCTCATTGGCTTTTTTCTCTTTCTCACCCAAAGATGACTTCAACTTGAGGAAATGCTAAATTCGATTGAATAGACACCAGGCCACGAAACCCTAAACTAGTAACTAGTAACCTGACTCGAAACAGCCGTTCACGAGGACTCCAGACACGTAACGTAAAAGCGAGTAGGCTTATGATATGCAATATACGCCTTCATAAATGCGAACGCTACTCGGTTCCGGTCTGCGCATTGCAAAGAAAACCACAATATAAATTAGAAAGTAAAGACATAACGAGTGGATGAACAAAGAAATACACAGTCAATTAAAAACGTACCAGTTTGATTATTTTGATCAGCATCCAATTGTTGCTGGACGTTGTCATTAGTTTGAAGAAAACCGGTGCAAGTGTCAGGTAATTTTTAGGATTTTTACGAGCGAGCTCACATATGACGTTGACAGCAGCACTTTGAACGCCTGGAATGATTCATTTCCACTACAAACAGAACTCTTCTGAACTGGACTCACCGGGATCAGGATCTTCAAGTTTGTCTTTCAGCCGATGAAACGTCGGCCTTAGCGCCTCCGGATATTTTAGAAATATTTTGTACAAAAGCAAAACGGCTCGTTTTCGCGTGTACGGTCGTGACGAGGAAAGCTGGAGCGATATGGGATGTAACTCTCTCTCCAACAATAAACTCGAATTAATCAAGAAACAATGCTCGTTAAGGTACTTACGAGATTGACAATGTCACTGGCTAGATCCCTTGCAAGATCTGGAGTCACGAAACAGGACAGACCTCCAAGTGCAACACCGGAATCATACATGTTGGAGCTTAAATTCAAGAACTTTCACGAGGGACAACGGTAGATAAATAAGAAAAGTGAAACAAGACCAAACAGTTCTCACATTATTTAAACACAGACTTCATATTAGAAACTACCTGTTGAGATCTTTGCGGATCAAATTTGTTGTCAGCATTAGGACCTCAGTCGTATCATGGAAACACTGAGCTGCAGCAAGGTATCTTGAAAAACAATTCTTTTACTTTTCTTTGAACCAAGAGTACTCAGCACTAACCGAAAGCACCAACCCTATTCGTTTTTCTGTGTACTTCGTGGAAGCCATAACCTCAATTATGTTGAACGCGGCCCAGGAAATATCGTACCCTAACATTTGCAACTGAAATTTTCTACATGTGAAACAACGACGAGTCACTGCTTTCTCTTTATCCTGCGGGAAAAACTTCTTTTCCGGATTTGATACATTTTTTAGAGGGTAAACTGCACCACATCCTCCAAGCCCAACACGTTAGAAGTCACAGAAGCTCAAAAAGAAAGGGATGATAGATCGAGTTAAGAACTCACATAGGCGAGCTTTTCAATAGCGTTTGCTTTGATGTATGTAGAATCTTGACGCAGCTCGATTTTGATCTCTTCTATACATGATGCAATATATCGCGTCTGAAGATCTTACAGTGAGGCTTTGACGTTACAAAAGTGATGCCCCAATTATACAACACAAACCAACCTCGTTTTCTTTATTATTGCGTATACCACGTATAAGGTCCGTAAGGCTTTTATCGAACAACCTATCGAGGTTGCTGCGCACCTTGCGCAGCGCCATTTGTTCGAACCTGAAAGAAATTGGGCTATCCATTACCTCGAACATTAAGGAAGAATGAACGTTTCCAAAGTGAACTCAACAAAAACGAGGCTCTCCCAATACAGTTCATCAAGAGCAAGTGACTTCGAGTCGCGTTTACTCAGTGGAGAGTTCCGCGCTTGAGTTAAATTTTTTCGCGTGCTCATATTGGAATGAAGGCGCTTTAATCTTGGATGGTTTTTCACGTTGCTGATTCTATTACTAGCCTTAACCTATCACCTATTCATTCCTCTGCTCACCATTGAAAATGAATTCGATACGTCCTATTGTTCTGCCACCCTGCTTCATCTACGGAATATGTGTGGCCACTGTAAGTGTAAAGGGTAATGCTGTAGTTAAGGAATCACTGTAGAGGTCCTCCTCAAAAGACTTGCACCCATGGTCGTAAATATGCAGCGTCACGACCCTCGCGTAGTTACAAGAGAGACATCTGCTTTTCCTTCTCGTACTTTGAGTTTTTTCTTATTCGAACTTAAGCACAGATATATTTACTGTGCAATTACTTCGAATCGAACTTAGTGCCCATTTATTTCACGAGGCAAATGCAATCAAGACGAATCTGATCGTTGGATTGGACTTACGGATAGTTTACTTACCACGGAACTTAGGATGGAGACCCAGATAAATCGATCGAGTTTTGGATGCTGTTCAGGAATATAGGAATTGGAACTGCAAACGCTTTCCTCAAATAAGTTATGGGGCTCGAAATTCGCTTGCCACTAGTATTAATTGTAAATGAGAACCCGTCGCCTCGATATCAGGCGTCGCACGGCGCAGTGGTAGTGAACTCAATTCGCTGGCGGAGGCTTAGGGTTTGCTCGCTAGCATAAGACTTTTCATACCTTTTCTGACACTTGCTCAAATGAACGCCTCATTTCTACTTTAATTTGCGCTTGTCGCAATTATTGAAGAATGTTTCTGCACGTAAATATCATGGTTCTCTTTTAAACTTCAAAACCATTTAACAGAAAGATGCCAAATATCTGTAGGATGCTTGTGAGGAACCCAAATATTGATTAAAAAAAAACTAAAAATATGGGAGAAACTCACACACTGTTCACAAGCTGCACACTTTACACATACTGTTTCTCTACAAGTGGAGATGAAACAGTCAATCGTATCAAGTTAGTAAAAATTTGAAGCAAAGCAGAGCTATACAGTTCACAGGCAGACTCATTCTGTCTTGGTAAGCGACAAGAGCAGATAAAAGCAGGAATAAAGCATTAACGTGAACAAATGACGGAAAAAGTTTTAAAAGCCTCAATGGAACGGGAAAACACTAAGTAAAAACTCCCATTTACGGAGAGCAAGCCTCATTCTCAGCCCGTGGAGCGAGCGCACTACCACTGCGCCACGTCGATGCATTATGAAAGCGACGAATTCGCATTTTCAAGAAACACTACTACCGTCAAACGATTTTCGAGTCCTATAACTTTTATGGAAAAGCCACTTTGCAATTTGAATTTCCATATTGTGAACAACATTCGAAATTCTATCGAACTATGTGGGTATCTGGTTCTCTAGGCTAAGTTCCTTGTAATTAACAACCCTCCCTCGGTAGTGTTTCTTCCAGTAATCTTTGTATGCGAGCATCTGAAAAATACCACGGTTCCTCTGGAACGCGGAAGGGCAAAAGAAAACGCAGTCAAACCCATACTGAGATTTTGGAGAATGAACGTTTGGCGACTTGTTAGGCTGCTGTTTTCATGAAGATAATAACAATTCTGTTAATGCAAAGTTCGCAGTGCGCTATTTATGGCAAAGGGTCGTTGATTGTAAGCACGCTCTCAATCACGCCTACTGAATTTGGTGCTTTGAAACCCCATAGAAAGCACAGTGCTGAAGAGCCAACCATTTACGTGTATGCAATTTCACTTTGGTTGTTGTTCTACGGAATAGAGCTTTGTTATGAACCTGATCAATAACACCACAAGTCAATACAAAGACTATCGATTAAAAAAGCAAAGCTGAAATCTATGTAATGCTCTAGCGCACTANACTGGAACCAAATGACAATAATCTCAGAGAGCTCTCTACACAATTATGATTTCTGAAGCAATCTCATCGGATCTCCCATACGATATTTCACTTCTTCTAGTAACCATACCAGGGTCATAATGCGTTATGCTGACAAATACAGGTGTAAATGTTAAGAAAATGAATTCATAAGAATCCGCTCACCCATAGCAGTATCTTCTGCAGCAGTGCACATCTAGGGGCTCAAGATGCACGGAAGAAGTAGAAGCGTATGACGGTTTTACTACGGTGGTAGAAAACGGGTGGGGTGCAGTTGGATAGAAATAGTCGCGTCGCGGCGAGAGGGGCGCCGCGCGCGAAGAAATGTGGCGAATGCAACAGCAAGTAAGAGATACAGGAACAAAAGAACAAACATATAATCATGCCTTAAATAATATTTGCATATCGATCGAGATGTATGAAGAGCGCTAGAGTTGTAATAACGAGGCAAGCAGTCCTCAACTGCCGCGCGCTGCGAATCGAGTACACAAAACCGATCCTACTGCCCGTCTCCCGAGGAAAACAGAGGAATAGTTAGTGGGAAGAGTGAGGCAAAGAGTAGCAGTAGTCAACCAGCAAAAACCACTGCAAGATTAGAGCGCCCCACATTTCATCTAAATATGAGCGCGCGATAAAATAATTCGAGCTGCAGAATCCTCTAATGAATAAAAACAATTGTGCTTCGTGTTTTCTTTTGAATGAATTAGAAAGAGTTCGTTCTTGCTGGTTCCAATACAGAATAAGTAATGAATAGAATATCTAGGGAGACGTATCGGCACAAAATTTGCTATGAACGATTTGAGGAATCAATTGAGTCTTAATGAACGCAGGCGGCAAGTTTCCATTCATCCACTTCAGGGCTCCGGTAAGGTTATCTCTTCCACAGTGTTCCAGACTATTTGAAAATCGTTTTGCAACACATATAAGATGCTTTCCACTCAATGAAATTCCGCCGCCAGTACTGCTTGTTTAAAGTTCTTCGATTCCATATATTTCCCACATACAAGGTTGACGGCGGGTTTATCGTAATCGATCACTAATTGTCTAGAGTCCAAGATAAAGGAATCCAGATGATATAAATCAAATGTAATCATAATCCTTGTTTTGTCAAGTAATCAAAGGAATGAAAGCGAGTGAATAGCTGAACGATTGACGTTGTTGCAATATCGCTTTTCAGAATCCTGTTTGCACAAAGCACTTAAAGAAGCATTCCGAACAATCGAAAACCTCAAGCCGTACGAAGCGTATGAAACCAGATTACATAATTTGAAGCAAACTCCGCCACATAAACGAACATTTCGGGTAACACGGCTGGCAACTAAACCATAAGCCTCGTCAGTGCTGCCACCGGCATCGATCACACCATGCGCAATATGTGCGCCAACACCGCTGAAGAGCCAACCCCAATTGCTGACACATAACTAGTGTGATCAGGAAGAGGTCTTTGGCGCGGCCCTCCCTTGCGGTAACACTGCCGTTAGGGCGCATGGGATTCAATTGACACCATAGAACCCAATTTCTGCGTAAACGAATTCGACCGAATCATTCAGCTTCTCGATTTGCTGCCAACTATCAGCTGATCGTAGTTCCTTTGCGCTAGGCGCGAGGCGACTATGGTTAAGATTGAAGCTTAAGGGTCATTAAATTTTCCAAACGTGCAAATGTAGTTGGAAGAAGTAGAAGAAATCATAAAGGCTATATGATTAGTGTAGTGGAATATTTAAAAAAAATTAAGTGATTGCTTTGGGAAGTTAGCATCGTGTCCAGGTGAAGCTGTAATAGTAAAAAGCACATCTTAACTTTTATTTTAGTATCAAACAAGTATCTTGATGATTACTCAAAACATCCTGATAGCACGGGGGACGCACGATTCGTGCGATTCTGGGTCGCGCGGCAAACTGCGCGGCGGAATTCATGATGATTCGAACGACTCTGACTCCTATTATTGGGGCACAAACTTGAAGTAGAGTGGATTAGTAGGATCAGCCGACCATACCCAACTATTCTATTTCAAGTTTGNGGTCGGTGAATTGGTACCAAACTCGTCTGGGAGGATAAAAGCACTGACTTGTACATCGGCTGGCCACCGCAAAGCATTGTATAGGCCACATACGCACCCATTACGCCAGGGCGATTCTGAATGGAAGTCGAGCGCGGGGACGCATTCCTCAGACAGGACTGATTAACGCCAAAAACTTTATCCTTTAATATCTTTATCCTGTAAGCACTGAGTTTATTGGAGCAGTTTTCATAGCAGAGTGTCTCCAGTCGACTGTCCATAAATCTCCTTCGTGTTTTGATCTCACAATCAGAGCCTTTGCCAAACGAATGAGAAGAAAAAGTTGTAGCGGATCCAAGCATTGTCCAATCTCTGGTCAGAAAAGAATAGCCTTACAAAATCTGGAGATAGAATGCTAACGATAAGTGTTGAGTGTAGATGGTAGGAATGGAAACTCAAGAAGAATAGCAAAGAAAAACTCACCAAGAAGCGGAAACACGGAAATCCGATTCAAGGTTAGGTCGATCTTTTATGAAATAGAATTCTTAGGGATTTTCTCCTGCACTAGTCGGATCGCCCAGCTAACGCAAGGCTCTCCTCCATTTTATGTTGAAGTTGGAATGCCTCACTGAGACATATCATTACTTCTATTATACTTCTTCTTGAAGTGTGAGTACTTGATAGCAGCTCCATAGATTCTATGTTTACAGTTACATTCTCACCATGTCTCCTCAACATACTTACAGTTGAAACACTGTGGACTAAATGAAACAAAGTTGCGATCGACCGCTCAATAACACTACAGACCGATGAAGGAAGTCATTGTATCGCCAACATCCCTCTGCGTAAAACAGGGGACGTGCGATCGTCTCTTTACGAAGGTCATCATAGTGGTTTCTTGACTTCATTAGTGAATGGAAATGCAGCAGTGGTGGCCCCGTTTTCA